CCCGGCTGGAAACCATTAGCCACGATCGCCTACAATACCAAATTAACGGCATTACACAGAAGGGAAGTGGCGATGTGTGTGAACTCCCGTGTATACGCGTGTATTCCCGGTGTCTGCGCGCACGTGTACGAGACGTAACAACGTGCGTGTGTGGTTTACGGCAGCTAACGATCCGCGACGCCGGGATATATGGTCGCGGTGTTCATGCCGATTGTAGGAACGGCGCTTCCGACGCGAACCGATAAAATGATTTCTCTTTTCCCTCTTTTTTTTCCTCTTTGCGGCTCGAACTGTGAAATATCGATTATGCGCGGTCGTTGGCACAGAAAACACACTCGGGGATTCGGCGGCGGGATGCCCGGGAGTGCTGCGATGATATCGATCGCTCGCGTAGGGAGACGCAGCTCGCTCGCGGAGGGAAGCCTTTCGACGCGATCAGTAAATCGCGCTCCGAACCAGCGCGAGTTAATTCCCGTGGTCGATTGTGGGGCTGTTCATCCCGCAGGACCAAAAAGCGCCACGTAACTAGCCGGGTATCGATAGAGATCCTTGAGCAAGAGATTGAACATCGTACGTTTGGTTCACCATATTTTTTTAAGAACTGTTTGAAATAGAATAAGATAAATCATGCATCTATCTCGTTTCATCTTAAGCAGGTTCTGAAAAACATGATGGACCAACCGTATGGTGTCCAGTCTCTTTCGAGGATTTCTAGGATTCACCAATCAAAAGTTGTCTAAACGGTGTCTAATCTGTTGATCGAACATGTGATACCTAATGTCTTGAGGATCTCTAGGTATCTCTAGAGATCTTCAAGTAGGAGATTGGACACCGTTTAGATAACTTCTGATTGGTACACCATATTTTTCAAATCTTGCTTAAGATGGAATGAGATCCGTGAATATCTCATTCCATCTTATGCATAATCCATCTCATTCTACCTTAAGCAGGTCCTCAAAAATACGGCGGACCAAACATAAAAATGGTATCCAGTCTCTTACTTAAGGATCTAGGTAGCTCGAGCCGATCGCGCGTCTCTGAACCGTGCGAGATCGCGTGAGAGTCGGGTAGGCACGCGGTTTGGCGTTTCGCGGTATAAATAAAGCGCTCCTTAACGTCGCGCCATTCCTATATGTAAATGCAAGCGCAGATACGTAGTAGACATCAACGACCAGATAATTTCGCCCAGCGCGCGGTCTAATTTTAGACTCGCGGCTCCGATACGCCCGTGTAATGTCGCGACATTCGCGCGCGCACCGCCCGACCGTGTCACATTATCGATTCAAGTAATCCCGCTCTATGTAAATGTAAACGAGATACGCGACGCACGAGATTGAGATTTTCTTCGGCGACCACGCGCCGCGCCGACCGGCTGACGATGACCGCTGTAAAATGTGCTGTTGCAAAGGTACACTGGCGGTGACTGGCGCTAACGAGAACAGTTCCAGTAATATTTTAATCTGCACATATTGATAAATATTGATAAATCTAGACACTACGCTAAAAATATAAAATGATACCGTAAATTGTATTATGATCACTTTTATCAGTCTTTATTTAATTTTCTTATTATTTAGTTTTCTTATTTCAGGAAATTACAGAAACCTGGCTGGAAAATTGATTGTGTAGTAGATATAATATAAATACACTGTAATTAACATAATAGCACAATATTTTTCCCGTTTGATAAAAACAATGGTCCATATTTACATCTCACTTTTGTAGATAAATAAGCGTATTTATTCTGTGATTCTGTAATACATTTAACTCAAGAATAGTTCGACTTTTTATAAATCACTTGAGGCGTTTTACTCTTCAATTAAAATTATTATTATTAATAACACATTATATATTATTGATTGTTTTCAATTTATTGATATTAGAGAACATTATGGATATTTAATCACAATCTTCTGCAAAAAATATATATTTTAAAAAATGAAACCGAGTGATTTATTATGAGACACAGTTTTTTTTAAATAAATATTTTAATTAATGTAACGCTTTTTTATTGTGGGTTTTCAATAGAATTGCATCTACTTGAAGATTTCTAAAGCATAGTTTAGGCGTGTCACATCTATTATGTAATTTTACTTTAACTTACATTTTGAAATTTTAAAATTTTATTATGATTTTAAAAAAATTATATTTACTCTTAATATTAAAATTTTGTGAAGAATTTAATTGTTTATATTTTTAATTGGAGTAATTTTTTTGTAGAATTTTTTTGAAGTAATAATTGTAAAGAAAATAAGTTTTTCCTTTCTTCTGATGAATTTAGCACTTACAACATTTCACTTTGACATGTCTAATAAGTTATTTAAAAAAAATATGTTAAACGATATCCACACAAAACAATATTTTACAATAATACACATTTTTTTATCGCTGAGAAGTAAAAATACCGCCGATGATTATTCTCGAGTTAATATTCATAAATGTTAACGTTCTATAAAATTATAATGTTCATTTGATACTACCATGTCTCTTGATGCTAACTCTACGGTATTTATCGGATAATGAAATAGAGATTAATAGTTTCAAGTTAAATATACGATGAAATAATTCTGTTATTGAAATATTATTACACTGAGAAGAAAATACTTAAAATTTATTTATGTGAAATATATTTATTTCACTGAAATAAATATTGATTTAAATACGGCGAAATAAAATTTCATTTTTAGCAAATAAGCCATCTATTTTATATTTTTACAATTATTGAAATATATTTCACAGAAATGTATATTTTGTATTGTAATCAAATTTTTTTATAACTAATAAATTTTTATAACAAATAAATTTCGAAGAAAATGTCATAAATAATATTTGCTTCGCAATACTTATATTTTTCTCTCAATATATTAACTCTCATTACACACGATTGGATTATTTATGTTCTGCACACTTCTTTTCTTCGAAAAACTATAATAGAAGCATCAAATAATTAGTTATAACATTTATATATAATTCTTTTAAATACGCAACCTAAGTACTTTTTAAAAATGTTAAAGTACATGCAAGAATTACTTACCTAATAATTTTTGTATATTTATTTAACATGATGAAAATTAATCGTGGAGTACACTGAAAAAAATGCATGTAATTTTACATGGAAATTACATATTCATAACTGGAAAATAACCTAAATATGATTAGAAATTTACTGGAAATTAAATTTCCAATCATATTTAGGTAATTTTCCAGTCATGAATAAAGTACTGGAAAATCATCGTATATACTAAGAGTTAAAAAAAAGTAAGTTAAGTGTCTCGCAATTGCTGTAATCGATTTTAGAAATCCGTTTTACGCTCTTATTTCGCATGCGCATTTATCCACGGTTATCTTATATATCCTTTTAGATTGAGACAGTAGAAGTCTCGAATAATCCCGAAACCCCAGGCTATAAAGAGCGCGCCTGATCCCGATCCTGATCCTGATTTCGTATGCACCATGTACCTATTTACGTGACGTATACCTGGCCCACGGCAGCACAATCCTCATTTTTCACGTTGCCGCGTGCGCGCACGTAGCCTATGGGATTCACGTAAATTCGGTATATACCGTATAAGGTACACAGGCAACCGCGGAGGATTGGGTGAGCGAAGTACGTAGAAAGAGGAGGGGGATGAGGGTGGTCTCGACCTCCCGCGTACGTCACTCCCGGGGAAAGTTTACAGAGTGCCACTGCGACACGGCGAAAGGGGTTGAAAGCTGGACCCGGGACCGGAGCGACTCGAGGACGATGAAGCCGATCCCTTTATCTCCCTCTCCTCGTTTTCTGAGAAATTGCGTTACATTTGATTTACCGTCGGAATCGTTAGGGTCTCGGGACCTGAGATAGCGACCCACGTTTTTCAAACCGTCCTTGCCGTCTATGAAAGCGACCTTTCTTCTGATAGGAGCTCTTTCTTTCCCTCCCCCTCCTTCCTTCATTTGACTCTCCCTCTTTCGTCCTCTTTCCATTCAATTCGTAGCTTCCAGGCTGGCACGCGGCAGGCTTCGTGCTCGCGCTACGTGTTTCCCGTATACTCATTCCATAGTCATTCCACGCTTAACCCGGTAATGCATTCGATGGTATGCATCTTCGTTTCCTTATATATCGTACAATTTTGTAATTTTTGATCTACTATTCAAATATAGGTCTTAATCTATTCCCGAGACGACACGATTTAGAATTCTCCTGTTAACGGAGGAATAATGTCGACCTCTAAATATTTTCACATTTATATAAATATATATCGCTTATTCTCCTCCTTCCTCTTTGCATTCTTACAAAGACTGAATAGGCGTCTAGTTCTTTTCACACACAAATTTCTAAAGACGCATGAGTATTCTGGAAATATTCTCCTTTGGAAATAGCTGCTGTTTGAGTTTTCCTTATCCGAATACTTTTCAAGTAATTTTAGTGAAATATTGAGAGATCTTTCCTAGAAAATGGAAATGTAAACAAACGTTATCGAATAAAATCAATATTACAGTGCTGCGATTTTGACAAAGAAATTATTCACACATGAAATCCGACTAGAATAACGAGACGTTTTGGTCATCCAAGAACAATCTGTTCTTTTTTTTTTTCGGTGTTCCAAACCCGTCGCGGGTATTTGAAATTCATTTTAGTTTGTCCTAGTTCCACATTCTCTCGGTACACGAGCGAAAAATCGGATGACTTTTGTGAAAGCTTGTTAAAACTTCAGAGCGCGCTTCAAACTGAACGTAGTTATGGCACTCTCAATAAGTAAGTCGATATCAGAATGATTCGATAAAATGACGTCGTTAATAAAGGATGAAAAAAATATAAGTGTAAAAACGCCCTACTTTCATTCTTTTTTTTTTTTTTTTTTAAAAAGGAAAAACAAAAAAAGATCAAACGTTCTCTTGCTTCCTGTTGTCCCAGTTGCGCGCGGAAGTATTGTCCTCGCCCCAGACAGACAACTAGCAACGTAGTGTCTTTTGTAATGCAGCGGTGCATCATCGTGACGGGTTGTTGTCTGTTGCAGTGCTGCGGGATGAGTTTCGCGCGGAGCCACAGAACACGAGGGTCGCCGCCGGGGAGACGGCTTTGCTGGAGTGCGGACCGCCTCGCGGCCATCCGGAACCAACCCTCCATTGGAAGAGGAACGGTCACATAATAGACCTGGAAGCGACAAAACGGTGAGCTTTCTTTGTGACCCGCGGTCCCGTCCCTTTGAATTTCGCTCGACACACCGCGACGGCCGAAAACGTAACGAAATTGCACGCCTGACGCGCAGCGAAAAAGCGTAATGATTAAATGCGGGGTCGACTATTTTGCCGGCGGACCACGGGATCCTCTTTTCCCCTCTTTTTGGAACTTGGGAACCCATCGCCGTGCGGAGACGCAACTCCGGCGAATTGCAGCAGCAGCTGCCGACTGCTTGAAAATGACTTTAAGCCGCGAGCTTCCTTTACTTCTGCCTGCCTTTGTCCGATTGTCGTCCGACTCGCTGGCACTAAGCGGACAAGACAAACGTTCACTCTAGATGGTTACACCGAATGTTGCAATGTTACTAAATAAACTGAAGGGGACGCGCGACCGTTGCAATAAACATAAGCAAGTAAATGGCAGTAATTAAATCCAAAATAAACTGGAAAATAAGCACCGAGTGTTCCGACGCGCCTCGTTACTCTGGTACGGCGATTAATTTGATCTTGTCTCGAATGAATGATAAAACAATAATAAATATACCCTCCGTTCGCAATTTGCGGATTCTTTAAAAGCGCGAACGCATCCGCCGTCGCATCCGCTTCAAACCCGCCCATTTCCGATTAAATTGCAACGTCGCGCCACCACACAGGAGAGAGCCTTCCATATATGGGAATTTTGCGTTGTGTGTCTCCATACGCAATAATGTCGCGGCAGTAAGAGCAACTTTTACGCTCGCAGGATTACGGCCGGGAAATCTACTTTTATAGATGTGAGAGAGTGGAGACAGCAGAGAGAAAGGGACGGACGGAACTCCGGATTAACTTAATTCTAACAGCGACGCGCCGGGGTAAAAGGGACGTCGCCAGAACAAAAAATATCGTATCAAATGCCGCCGCTAACGCAAATACGGACGGTTATCTCGCATTTGCCTGTGCTTTTTCGAAGTCCCGGTTTAAGGGGATGCTGGAATTGTCCTGTTTTACCGATCAAATGTGATTTATTTTCAGATCCTCCAACCTTTTTATTGCATTTACACCAGATTTAAAAATCCTTCTCCACAATTAAAGTGTAGACAAAACACACAGTGCGCAGGCAACAATTTCATACGAAAAACGAAAGGAAATTGAAAAATTGTAGTTGTCATCAGCTTCTGTAGTCGACTCGTGACAATATGTGTTGCATATAAGAGTTTTAGACTTTGTACGTTTGAAATAAGCTTAGATTGCACTCGAAATTACATGAAAGAACATTACTATGCTTGTAGAAATGTGTTAAGGACTTCAGTATAAGAGGATGAGGAAATCTGAAAATTTCATTTGTGTGCTACGAGTGAAATCGGTGTGAGGAGTAAAACAGAGCAGTAATTGTGCCTAGTAATAGGTATCGGATCTCGCAAAAGATGGTGCTGCAATATGTTAGATAAGGACAGATGTACATATGTGTTTAAGTAAGACAGAACAATAATGTGAGAAACTGAGTTTGGAGTTAAAAAGACTGTATTATCGATATCGATCAAGTAAAGCCGTCGCTCCAGCAGTTCATATTTTAATTGTGGAAAAGGATTTTTAAATCTGTGTATAAATATGTATATATAAGCAGTTAAAAAAATACTTATTTGAAAAATAATCAGTAAAACAGGATCTTCTTAAGGCCGGTATTCATAGTTGATTTTTATATTTGAGATTATATTTATTTTGAATATTATATACAGTTTTAAGATGTCATAAGTGAATCAGAGGGTTGTATCAGCATCTTAAAATATTACTTAAGATATTACTTACGGTCTTAAAGTAAAAACGGACTATGAATACTGCTCTAAATGTAGATTCCTCATGAAAATGAATTGAAGACTCATTTCGACACACGATACCTCAGTCAATATCATATTAAGATATCATATTACATGGCTAGTATTATTCGTTAAGATTAAACTTATTATAGCCTATCTATAATAAACCATTTTACGATTAAAGTTGAAAAAGAGATGACAAATTAAATTAACCGCATCCATTTATCGGCTCGGAGTTAAACATCATCCATTTCTATTCGCGGTGCTCGATGACGCATTGAATATCTCTGCATTTAACGCTGTCACTGATATTTTCATCAATCGGAAGTAAATCCGTTGCGCGATGTGTCAATAAAATTTCCCACTGAGGCTTATCGGTTTAATAATAAATCACGCAATAATATTTGACATATAACAAAGCGTGTAATCGCGGGAGGTATGCACTGTATTTACCTACGTCTCGACGATTACGTTAGCCGAAAGCGTGTTATAGCCGAACGAGAAACAGGGGAGACCCGCAACTCGCCTTCGTGCAGGAATCGGCGCATAAATTCGGCGGGGTACGAATTTACCCTTTCTCCCTCTTCTTCCTTTCCCTCATCCGTCTCTCTATCTCTCTCTTTCTCTCTCTCTTCCTCCAGGATCAAGCTTTTAAGCGTACGCTTGCGCGAGCCACCTCGTTGTAACGACCCGGCACACTTCCGCGCTCCTCCGTCTGCCATTCGTATCTCGGGAACGGGTGATTTTTTTTCTCCCCCGAATCCCCGTGGATCGACTCGATCAAACTTTCATGGGGCGCTGAACGTCTCTTAGTTTTTTTCGCGCCGCGATCCCGTTCTTTTCCCCTCATTCTTTCTCTCTCTTTCTTAGGAGGAATGTCGACAAACCCTCACGACCTCCCTTTCGATCGGCGAAACTCCGTCGGAGATAAGAAAAAAAAAAAGATTCTTATTACGAAAGTTCTCGAATGCATGATGAAAAAAAACACGGCTGGGGATTAAGGAGAAATTTATCCGCGGTGTTGCAGCGCGAAAGCGGGGTAAAAAAGTTGAGTACCTATAATTTATCGACTTAATAAATTATTAATTGATTTGCTCTACCATGATTACGATTTTTATTGCCCGTCATTTCGTCAGGTAAAAAAAGATTTTTATTATGAAAGTTTTCAAATACACGATGAAAAAAAAATCACGGCCGGGGATTAAGGAGAAATTTATCCACGATGTTGCAACGCGAGAGCGAGATAAAAGAGGTCGAATATAATTTATCGACTTAATAAATTACTAATTAATTAGTTCTGCCACGATTACGATTTTTATTCTCCGTCGTTCCGGACTATATCTCCGCCATATGGACTGTAATCTCTATACGGTTAGATTTTTCTATCTCGTGTAATTACTTCCATTTACACCGTCGCTTACAACCGTATTGTACACGTTGGCTTAACGCTCTCAGGGACCCGGCACATTCCTTCTTCTTTCTTTAATGGATTTCCATCCTCTATGGGACGCGATACCACGTTTTGACCCGGCACTCGAGGGCACGTGACATACGATTTTCCTTTTTTTACCCTCTGTTCCTTTCGGATTTCCAAGATGGTGTGAGGCGCAAAGTCGACGGAAGGCGAGAAATGGAGACATTTTTTTTTCCCCGATGAGGTCTCTCTCGCGCCTCGGAAAACGAAACGAAACGAAACTAACATAAGCGAAACTCGCACGCGCTCCGTTCGCTCGTTCGTTTCGACGGCTATTTTCCTCTCCTTCGTCTCGATCAATAGGGTACTCTCCTCCGTTGCGGCGGCCCGCGGAAACTCCCCCCGTCTCCTCCCGTTCCCTTCCCCCTATTCTCCCCCTTGTTTCTCTTCCTCTATCACCGCCATCCGTCCCCGTGCCGGATTTACCGATGGAAGCCCGAAGCCGCGATAAATTAGGACAACCGATAGGAATTAAATCCGGCCGTATCGGAACGTCGAGACCGCGCTTCTCTCCTCCGCTCTCTTCACTCTCCTCTCTCATCGAAGCGCGCGAAACCTGGTAAAACGGGACACGGAGAGCGATGGAAGAATGGTAGCGCGGCGAAGAGGGGAGAGAGGAGGTTAAGGGGGAGAGCTGGAGAGAGGAAGGGGAGAGGTAATCGAGCACCACCGACGCGAAAATTAATTGACACTATAAATTAGAGAGCGCGATCGAGAGCTATCGATCGATTCGCGTCGTCGCGAACATCGTTCTCCATACGCGCGATATTGTGCATGTGCACCCCCCTCAACGAGACGGCCGTTTAATCTCGCGACCGCCGACGCGGGGAAGAATCGATCCCTCGGGTAAGGACGGCTTGGGAATGTCAAGTACGCAGTCTTGAGTACGCGCCTTCGCGCGCCTTATTCCCTCGCATAAATAATATCAGGACGGTAAGGAGAAGAAGAGACGAAAGGGGAGGTAAAGGGCGCGTTACGGAAACCCCGTCGTTCTCGAAAGTTCCTCTTCCCTGGTGAAGGAAACCGGGCCGGGTAAGACAAACTGCGTCTCCTGGAACGGAACGATTAAACATATGGGGAGGGGGGAGGGGAGTGCACGAAATTGTCTCGCGACAGTTCGCGCGAAAAACGATCTTTCGCCCTCGCCCGTTCTCAAGTTACGAAACTTGGGTAACATAATACGATAATAATGTATTACGATAATAAATATATGTATTATGTGATAACATGAAGTATAGGGAACATTACTGGACCATTTACGTCTTCTCCCCGACGACGCTCGAGGCGCTTAAAGACGCGGTCGATCTCAGCAGACGGAAATTAATCGTCGTAATTTTCGTCGCCGCCGCTCTTATCGAATGGGAAACGTCGCGCGTCTTGATTAATCGTTCATCGACCGTTTCAGGATAACCCTCGTGGACGGGGGTAACCTAATGATATCTGACGTGAGGCCAGCCGATCATGGCAAATACCAGTGCATCGCCGAAAACATGGTCGGCACTAAGGAGTCTGCGGTAGCGATCCTCACAGTTCATGGTAAGAATCATGATAGATACACGGCAAAACATAAAACAGTAAGACATATAAGCAGTACATAAATTAGCCAATCACAATAAAGAACGTAAAACAATAATGTAGGTATATATAGAAAAATATCATTCTATTGCTAAGAAAAGTGATCAATTAATTTTTTCCTTTTAAGTAACTATTATTTTTAATAAAAAATATTTAATTGATAATAATCTTAAAATATATTTGTTAAAGGTTTTAGAAGTACTTATTATATACTCAAAACAAGAATTTCTTTTCTTTGGAAGAATTATGAAATTTTATGGAAGAAGCGATTTTATATGATAAGCAAATCTTTATTTTAATTTAATAATCTTGATTAAAAAATATTAAACTTATGTATTAAAATTCGAAAAATTTTTTTGAATAAATTTAATTGCGATGAACTTATGATAGAATCGCGAATATATAAACTTTTGAAATATTTGAAATAAGTAATTACTGTTTTTCTGTGTGTAAGCAGTAGCAAATCAAAAAACGTTGATTTGTTTACTTTTCTTGTCTGTCGCTTACATTTTTGAATGTACTACAGGTTTAAACGTTACCAAAAGTTCGTAATACGAACATATCCTATTTCCCCCCGCATCCCTTTGCGATTAAGACTAAGAGACCAAACACGGATTCGTAGACACCATTGAGCTTAGCTCGGTTTAGCGCTGCACACTTAACGCTAATCCTGATTGTCCGATAAGTACTTTTCGTCTCGCGTGGCATGATTGTGTTAAGTCTCAAATTTAAATAAAATATTTAAGAGAAAACTAATGATTAAAATATTGCTTTACAGCTTACTCGACACCGTCAATCATTTTAACAATTTACAACCGTTGTATGACATAATTAATTGTTGCACTTGCGTTCTATTTTGTTCCAGCTTTATCGTCTTTTCAATATTGCTCTAATTTGACAGACAATTCAGTACATATTGAAAATAAACAAAATAAAATTGTTATCGGTCATCTTTTAATTCAGAGCAGCATTATGTATTCATAACGTCGTTATTAATGCAACGTTTTAATGCATTCGTCTACTTATGATTTATTACTAAAATGTTATTTGTTCTTTCAAACCGACTGATCAATCGCGGTAACCAAACTACATTAAATAAATAACGTCAGCGTGTCAATTTGTGACCACAGAGCCGTTCAGAATCCGATGAAAAGCCGCGGAACGTAATTCGGAATATAGACCAAACCTCTTTCCACCCCTTCGGGCGCTATCGGGATTTTCCAACCAAATCCTCGCTCTGTCTTTACAGTGAAGCCATACTTCCTGGCTATGCCGTCGAACCAAACGATTCTCGTGGAACAGACGGCGGAGTTCGCCTGCAGGGTGGGTGGCGACCCGGAGCCGGAGATCTTGTGGCGTCGAAACGACGGCAAGATGCCGATAGGCCGGGCGCACATTCTCAATGACAAAAGTTTACACATCGAGCGGGTGAACCCCCAGGACCAGGGGACGTACATCTGCGACGCGGAGAACGGCGTCGGTGCGATATCAGCGAGCGCCACTCTTACCGTGCACTGTGAGTACTAATCCTCCCTCTGTCACTTGCCCCGTCCTCCCTGTACTCGAGGATCCGCTCGACCGTGAAATTAATTACGCGCTCGGTGTACGATTATCATGACGAGTGAAGGGGGTGCCAGAGAACAGGGCAGACGCGCATTATCACCGCATATCAAGCCCCGCAATGTGCATCCTGTCGGATGTCGACTTTTGCGCCTGGCTTCGACGGCGAAATCGAATCTGCGGCTTGGAAAATTCGAACATGTTGTTGAGTAGCCCGGAGTGTACGAGATAGGAGGGTACGATTATACGATGGACACGGTATTATAGTCAGACAGCCCAAACTTTACGCTCAAGCGAGCAGGATGAATTCTGAACAGACATGTTAGCGGGAACATAATATCGTCGATCATTCATATGCACAAATCTTCTCTTTTTCCAAAATTTATCTTTTTTAAAAGTATCTTTTGAGACCATAATGTGAATACACAACAAATAAGAAATAAAAGTCTTAAATGATTAAGCTGGGCCTTTAGTGCTTAAATAATTCGGTGTGAATTTATTTATATGCTATATATCCAATCTTGCAAATTTGACGAGCAGTTTGCGGGGAATTAGGTATGTAGTGTATAAATTCACCCCGAATTATTTAAACATTAAAGATGCAGCTTGACCGTTTGAAACCTTTATTTCCTATACAATAATGTAGCGTTTTATTCAAGCGAGAAATTTAAAATTCATCTCTGTTATTTTTCACAAAAAACACGAGATTTTTCATATGAAAAATTCACTACAAATTTAGCTCCAACTGATTAATCTCAAATTAGCTTTAAATAATTAAAATTCGTCGTAAAATTTTCATTTTATACACTTGAAGAAATATTAGATCGTGATTATTAAGGATTAATCGAAACTATTGCTAAATTATACGACGAGAAGACGTGTTCAAATCGAACTGTTTGTCACAGCGAGGCCGGTATTCACCAACTTCCCCAAAGACGAAACGGTAAATGCCGGCACCGACGTCACCTTCTCATGCGCCGCGCGGGGTGCTCCGAAACCATCGATATTTTGGACCCGGGAGGGTTCTCAGGAACTAATGTTCCCCGGCCACACGTATCAAAGCCACTACACCATCACGGAAGACGGAAGTCTGAGTATCAAGGGCGCCGTCAGAAAGGACGAGGGCCACTACGTGTGCAGCGCCATTAGTCAGGCCGGCGCCAGCACCGCCACCGTATTTCTTCAGGTACGTAAGCCTTGTAATCCACGTCTCGACGGTTCAACCCCATGCTCGACAGTCGCCTGAGAATCTTCTCCGTCACGAACGTTATGACTTTTCTTTTTTTTTTTATTTCGTGCTACAATGGTACGAGTTAGTAGTTGCAAACTGACGATAATCGCGCGTGATGCGCATCCACACGTAGGACAACGAAAGTCGCGTGCTAAACGGACGCGCAACAGTTTGAAATATACGGGCAAGATAAATCTGTCCGGGAGAGAGAGAGAGAGAGAGAGAGAGAGGGGCGGGCGCGCACATTAAGTGGTTCATTTTCTCGATACATATTTATATCATCCCCTCCTCCTCTTCGTTCCCTTCTGGTTGAGTGCAGAATTACCATTCCGGCTGGTGCATCGTGGTACCACAGTCCTAGCCTGAGGGGAGTTGCCCCACATTCTGGAATAAAATTCTTATCTACATGTAGGGAGCATTACGGCGAATCTACTTTAGCGAATGAAAACTCCATAACTTATTCGCTCGCAACGGGTCAAAGTTGAAAGGTGTATAGAAAGGAAACTTTTGAATTACATATTTCCAACGACGTGGCTATTCGAACGAACTTATTAGATAGGATATTCGTTCAATTCAGCCAAGTGGGTGGCCAGCACGTAATTTATATTCTAGATATTACAGCAAAAAAAAGATGTGAAGTCAGCAAAGTTCCTAGCTAAAATATCAAGATTCCAATCGCGAATTATGGACATTTATGTAGCCATTTTTTCTTAAAAAGATTGAAGGGATATATTTAAGCGCATCACTTAGAACGTCGATTCCTAATAGCTTTTCGTTTCGCTTTTTTAATTAGTGTTTACTTAAGGAATCTTTTTTATTTTTTATTTGTTTGAACAATTATATTCCAAATAAAATTTGTCTTGTTACTCTCTAAATTCTTTGAAATAAATTTTACTTTAAAAGAGTGAAATCTTAGTCCAATGAATTTAGGAAGTACCAAGACCAATTTTACTTGGAATATGTCTTTTCAATCTTATTTATTAAAGTATATTAAAGTAAGTTTTACGAACTCTGGACGCGTTCCGTTCCCATATTCTAGAATTAAAGGAAAGACAGAGCATGGCATTTAGCCAACTAACTTTCTTCTTCACTGAATGAGATTCATAGATAGGGTTCCAAGTAAAATCGTTGTCGACAAAATAGGTGACGTCCGTCGAGGAGACTCCACCACCCATAATCGAGCTGGGCCCGGCGAATCAGACCCTGCCGCTGAAAAGTGTCGCCTCGTTGCCGTGCCGTGCGGTCGGTACACCCACGCCGCGAGTTCACTGGCACAAGGAAGGTGTACTCGTGCGACCAGGCGGCCGCATCACGATGGCCATCAACGGCACGTTATTCATCGATGACCTGCATGCCAATGATTCCGGCCTATACACCTGTATCGCCTCGTCGGAATCCGGCAACACCTCCTGGTCGGCGTACCTGACCATCAGTACCGGTGCCAGCTTTCATCGGACGCCCGACGTGTCGGCGTTGCCGCAGAATCCGAGTAAGCCGCGGATAGTAAATGCCACCAGCAACTCCGTCACCCTGACGTGGAGCCCAGGCCATGAGGGTCAAAGCAAGATCATTGGCTACAACATCGAGTACTACAGCAGCAACCTGAACACCGGCTGGGTAGTGGCAGCCACGGGTGTTCTCGACGACATCTACACGGTGAGCGAATCGAGATCCGGCGATGATACTTGACCTCTTTTCCCCAGCGCTTATATCCCCAGCGCCTCGAGTTTCAACGATCTTCTCAAGTAGGCATTTTCAGTTTCCCTTCCTTTGTGCATTGTTTTTTGAAAGTTTAGAACGCGTACTGCTGCTACTACTGGCGAGGACAGTTCGCGACATTACGGTGTTAGGTAACGGACCGATAAACCTAACTAAGTCGCTTACTGTTGCGTTGAAAAATCCAATATCAAAGTTTCGTATTGGAACTACGTTTTAATAAAGAGAAAAGAGCTCGAGAAGCCTAATGCCATAAAATAATGGCTGTCTACATAAGAGACTTTAATATCCTGTATCAAACAGGCGCAATATACTTCAAATGTCGTTGTCGCGCAATATAAGGTTTTAACCAGCCCTTCAAGAATGTATCTCTCGAAGAGAACAAATATCGTAATATGAAAAAAGTAAACATTTAGTGGTTAACACTAAACCGCCGATAATATCCTACTAGAACTGACGAAGGTGCCAATTTGGTAATGTTCTATTCTTGTTTTCGATTAGTGAAAAATTATTTTAATATTATTTGTATTATATATATTCACATATTTTCAATATTATATTTCAATATTCAATATTATATAGAAAAAAAATTTTTCTTATTAGATGTATATAATAATGATTAACGGAATCAAAATATAACATCAGCGGTTCTAGTGTTACTAAACAAGCAGGAAACATGGTTAGATATATACGTATGTGTGTGTATACATAGAATTTATTTACTTTTTATTTATTTGTCAAACTAACGAATCTGGTTTTCTGCTTTATCCATCAACAGGTGACAGATTTAAGGCCGGAGACCAATTACGTTTTCCTAGTACGAGCGGAAAATAGCCAGGGGCTCTCGCTGCCCGGACCACTGTCGGACATCGTACAAACTACTAACGTAAATCAGCATACGGTACCGCAAGTGGAACTGACTCGTGCCAGGGATCGGCTGAACAGCGAGATTTTACATCTCAAAGAGGTGCAACCGTTGACCAGTACCAGCGTGAAGATCATGTGGGACGTAAGTATCAGGCAACATTATACGCGACGTTTTGCTGGTATCGATTTATTAGCATAATAACGTGCGGAACTTGGTGGCAGATGCTAACTTGAAAATTTCCAAAAATACATCTTTTTGACAGTACAGAAGTAACGTTTGTTCGTTTATCTTAAAAATGTACTTGTTTATATCAAATACACAAAATCCAAGCAAAGATTTAATTTATCCAGACTGTATTTGTATTAGAAATAAAAATAGAGATGAGAGCTATCAGCTTTCGTTCAATTTTTTTAACAAAAAATTTTTCAGTGAATCCCTCCCGGTATTTGAGATACTCTGCAGTTGCGATGTTGGCTATTGGAATTGGAAAACATTAAAATAACAACAAAGGATTAGAATAACATACTAGAATTTGAATTTTAGATTCTCGGCGCGGCAGATTTAGTAGAGGGTCTTTATATACGATATCGCGAGGTTTCCGAGAAACCGGAATATCAGATGGTTACGGTGCTCAACGCTGGCGCTACCAGTTACGTGCTGACTAATCTGAAAAAGTATACGCGTTACGAATTCTTCCTGGTTCCCTTCTACAAGATAATCGAAGGTCGACCGAGCAACGTGAAACTGGTCACCACATTGGAGGACATGCCCTCGGGCGCTCCCGAGAACGTTCACGTGGGGATGATAAATATGACCTCGGCGTTCGTTCGGTGGTCACCGCCGCCAAAAAATACTCAGAACGGTCAATTGATTGGTTACAAGGTAAGGGTCGCCGTTAGTCTTCCCTAATAGTGTAAGAAACGTATCTCTCTATATCTCACTGTCAATTCGTATCCGTTCGATATAGATTCAGATCAAGAGCAACAGCAGCAACAAGATCCTGGGTCAAATGTCCCTGAACGCGTCCACCACGTCGGTGATCATCAACAGCCTGACTACTGGCGGTTTATACACGGCTCGCGTCGCTGGACAAACCCGGATCGGACTGGGTCCTTTTTCTAGTCCGACTCTGTTAAACATGGATCCTGGACAGCTGACGCAATTACCGCCGCGTACCGATCCCAGCCACGGAGGTGCGTCCGTTGTCAGAGAAACGTGGTTCCTTGTGCTGATAATAACGATGATATTCACCATTATCGCCGTGCTGCTGGCCGCCCTATACGTAAGACGCAGGCAAGCGATGAGCAAGCAACTGGGTCACTTAAATGTACCCGTGGGTACCGCAAACGATATCTGTCAATTGAATAAAGACACGCTCTGGCTGGAACGAGGTTGGCGGCCAACCAATACCCTCCAGGCTGCCAACGATAAGGATTGCGAGACCAAGTTACTCAATAATCAGCATATGCTGGCGGCCGGTATAATGGGCATGACCGGCTCGGAGTATGCTGAAGTAAATCTGACGACGTTCTACAACACACGCAAGCAAATGCAAGCGCCACCACCGGAGCCGTACGCGACCACGACCCTGTGCGTGGGCAGCCGTAACTCAGACTCGATCGAGACCAGCTGCCAGAAGTCAAACTCCAGCGATTCGTGTCTGAAACCGGATTACTCAAGCCTGGACTCGAATCAGGATCCCAACAAGTCTACGGTGTCACCAAGCAGTGACAACATGAGCGGTGGGGATGCCGCCTACGCGGACGAGAATCTGGACATGCAAAGGAGACAGTATAGAATAACAGGCCCTGCAGGCGACGCGCCACAAACCGGTATGCCGATGCCTAACTGGTGCGACATGTTGCCGCCGCCGCCTGAACATCCACCTCCTCTTGGCACATCCGTAGCCACTGGTCGGATGCAGCAGCAGCAGCAGCATCAGTTGCAACATTCGCACCAACAGCAACAGCAACAAGTGCCGTTCAGTCCACATCTCGGCAAGAGAAGTATTCAGAACGATCTAGATCACTGTGGTGGCTCAGGTGCCGTTTCGTGCAATCCGCAGAGTCCACCTACTCCGCCTATCAGAGTAACCAATAGCTTCAGCCCATCGCCAACACCCTGGAGTAGCAGCGGACAGAGTCAACACTCGGAGACCGGTGCTCTCCAGGTGCCTGGCAACCTTCAAGTTCCGCAGGGCAGGTACACTACGCTACCACCGCAAACTAATCCGCCACCATTGCCCTCGTTCCCGCAGGGTTTCAATCACTACGATTACAAAAACCAGGAGAATGAATACGAGAGTGGCTCTGTAATTTATGGTCATCACCAGAACGGTCTGCCAGACGATTACGGCGCGCGCGGTGATCCCGCATTTGCTCGTTCCAACAATCAACAGTCCCATTTAACCCCGTCCGCCATGAACGAGGAGATGTATCGGCACAGAGACGAAATGTTCCACAACGACAACCTCTATCAGCCCGAGAATGACGAGTGGGACAGGAAATCATGCGACTCCAACACGCACTCGGACGCATGTTGCTCGTGCTCGGAATCGAGCTGCCTCTACGCTGACACCGTGCAATACAACGCGCAGCAGTACAGTACGGCATGCGGTCACAGTAGTAGCAGAACGGGTTCCCGAAGCAGGAGTAACAGGAGTCCGCGAAGAAGAAACAGAACGTCCTCGCCCACGTACAGTAGCGACAGCAATTACTCCTGCATCCCTCAGAGGCAATGCGGAAGTACGAATTCACAGGAGAGACTGAGGCATAATCGTAGTAAAGGTAGTCCATTCGAAAGAGAAAACTTAACACTAAAAGTACCGAATGATTATTATTAATCGTTTCTATCTTTTAGATTAATATTTTTTTGTGTAAAAAATAGAATTTAAAAAATTTTTTACTTTTTAATAATTATGTTCTTTATACTAATGAAATATCTGGTTTTTTTATTTCTTTTTATTTTTATAATAATTTATTGGTTTGATTTCCTCTTTTTTTTTAATGAGTATGAAACATTGATACTTTTAGTGCTAATTTGTTCTTTTACCTTTAATTAAACTTAATCTTTACCCAAATCTGTTTGAACGATCAAACATATTTTTAACATGTTTCTATTGTTACTGCTTTCAGACAAGCTGCCTAATTTGTCAAGGACGGGCAATTACAGCCAACACAATTCTTCGGCCTCTAATACGATGAGTAGTACGGGCAGTCAGCGATACAATAAGCTAAATAGTATCTTTGCAAGCGGCAATAACCCGAACGCTCCGACGGAGTCTAGTCGACTGGGTGATCACCGTGAAAGCTAAATACTACCTGGACGTAGTAAATACAGGACGTGCCTGAACAAACGGCCTTCGATCACAACGAACGATCGTACTCTCGATTACGGGAGGCCGTTTCGCAATCAGCAATGTCGTGGTAGTTCGTCGGTTCGATTGAGCGCGTCGTATATATAATAAAAGATACATCATTAGCGTCTCGCAGGGTTGCTATATTTCTATATATACTTGACGCAAAACGCTACCGCGTTTCTTTCAACGGCCCACACGCTGGAAAGCTACATCGATTTGATTTGTTGATTATACACAAGCTCGGTGACAATGAAACAGAGTGAATCTCGTACTTTCTCTGTGTTATATAATATCAAAAATATTTAACAGGTTTCGCGAGATATTAAGTATTCCATGACTGACAACGTTTACGTTTAGCTGATTACGTGGCAGTAGCTTAAGCTTGTAGAATATTCTTGTGTTTGTACGAAGCGCAATAACGGTCTATCGTGGTAGGAACATTATTTCGACTCTCAAGACTCGAAAGATTGAATCGCTCCGTGACTGATGCTCGCAACGTTTGAATGCTATGCCGCTAGACCCCGTTACGTACACGCGATATAGTCGATTGTTTTGTATTCTGTACTCGGATAAGGGCTTTCAAAATAGATAACATCGCAAGAGGAATGGAGGCAACGCGTAGTATTATCTTTCTTTGAACACTACCAAATAGACTGATTAACGTATCATCGGACCTTGCTTATATTTTTTTTATTCTTCACTTTGTATCACGCTGAGAGACAGAAGTGATCCTAATATTCGTGAAATATTAAAAAAAAGAAAGAAGAGGAAAGGAAACGTTCTTCTCTCTTATATATTGCGATTTGCTGTTGCGCGACATGTTCCTCGAGTAAACATTTAACGCCTGAGCGGTCACGCCGGGCTAATATTCCAATCTTGAACTTCGCTGTACTTTCGATTGCCATGTATACTGCCATTCCCGCTGACGTACCGTTAGTTCGATTAAGTTTTATCTTAAATAGTGGCTTTAAAAGTCACATTTTAGCTTGCGAATGTCAGCGAGCTACAAAAGTTTCTGCGCAACCGCTCCGGGATGAATGTCGTGTATAAATTTTCCGTGTGACGTGTTTTTTTAACGTGGCGATAGCATAAACGGAGAGAAGAATATACTATACAAACAACGGGTTGATCCGCTTAAGCGCGAACTAAGATTTGGGTCGCGTAAAGCGCGTATGAATCAAGCAAGCGCAGTCAACTATTTATTGATTGACAAATTTTGCCTACAAAAAAGTTTGACAATTCGGGAGTAAATTATTTTAATTTATCTCCATTTATAAGCAATAGAAGACATAACTGAATTCTTTGTAATTTTACAAAGTTCTTGTTTAAAAAAGTAACATATTTCTTATGACGAGCAGCTAAATATTTGAAATTATTGAAACGATTGCACTATTATGCTTTAAGAGAGATAACGACTCCAATACTATAGCAATAATAAGAGTATACGTAATTAAAAGCGCATATGTTATCGTATCGAGATGAGCTTGTTTGTGAAAATGAGACTTCAAGATTTTTAGAATAATCCGGTATAGGATAGTTCCGCGATCTCTTCGAGCGTCAAAGTGATTTCGTTCCGAAGTCATTGTCTCGGAAACAATCGAACAGGCAATCGTTCTACTGTGCTGAACACGAAATTAACTTATCGATCGACCGTGCCTGCTTGTTCTGTACGCAGAATGATCCTTTCGCTACGGTGGTTTTTATCGAAAGGCTTCACTTCCTGCGGACAAAGCAATTGTTTTCAATCGTGAAGCCCAAATGCAATATATTACAGCTTGCAATAGGCAGCAATTGCTCATATTCATGCCCGTGTTCGACACTAAATGAGCTCGTTCGATTCTGAGTCCTGATAACATCTCTCATCTGTATGTTAAACAGCTAAGCATTCAGGAATCAGAATCAAACGCGAAATGTGAATGAGCGTTTTAGTGGATTCAATCGTCCTTGATGCGAACAATTAGAGGTGAGCGATTACAGTATCTCTCAGCATACGACGGAAGCTGAATGGATAGGCAGGTATAATCGTCGTAGCGAAAAGATTAACGTGTCACGCCCGACAAAATGATTCGCGCTCGGCATCGCGACCGGCCTCGTAAAGCGTGGCATTTATTTTCGACAGCCCGTATTGTGCTCAAGCCACGACAAATGGAGTATATTATTTTGGATATAACGTTCCTAAATCCTAAGGCAACCGAGGACTAATCTCCACGAAGAAGGGCCACGTATAATTCTTCCAAAACGGGCGCACGTAGTAAATACGTTTTTAAAACGAAACGAAGTAACAATAAAAACGCGTAATATATATATATATATAAATATATACATATTATATATATTATCATATCACGCAAACGGTCCTGTATAAATTGTACAAAGTTATTCTAACGAGATTAGTCATTAGTTATTAATTTATACGTCGTATCGATTGAACTCATGTCGCGTAAGCAACAGATACGTAAGATATCTCATGTACCCTTTATTACACACGACCTGACATCTAAAAGTGAGAATGTGCTCGTCAAAAATGTGCGCTTCGAACTTAACGACGATACTGCCAATATAAAGTGCGTTATTCTCCAACGCGTACCTGATTCCGACTTTTATCGGATATTTCCATCGTCTCACCGCGATCTAATTCGTTTGCGAAACGAATTATAATTGTAAATCACAAATTGTTTTAAAACTGCGTCTAGATTGTTATTACATTAATATTGCTATAAAAGATAACAGTAAAAACGAAGGAAAACATACCGAAAAGAACTAACATTTGTAAAATTTTGACATTGTTAGTAATACAATTTGCACAAAGATCTTAAAATTTTTGTACTTAAGAAAAAAAAGATATTTGAGTCTTGGTATTCTTTTTCCCATTAATCTTTCAACTTTCTTCGCGATGGGACTTTAGATGGAAAACACAACGAAGTACATTTGCATTCGTAATGACCGACTTATTGAAAGCGTCTTTTGCATAGCGGTCAAAGAAGAATTGCATACTATTAGAACCATGAAATTTTATTATCCTCATCTTTCTCTCCTTTGAAGCGCATATTTTTAACAGGATGGAGTACACGTCGCGTCTGAATGCGGCATTTATCTGGAGGGGGCGTCGCGCTTACGGATGATTCGGGCTAACATTTCTCACCAGTTTTCATAGACGGATCTAGAGTAGAGGTGAAACCCATGGAAATGTACATCAGCGAATGAAATATTTAATACAAGAAAATGGTGTTGGATTTCATTTTTAATGCGCTTATTTCCATCTATGTAAAACATTGAAAATACAATCAGGTGCACATATGTTGAGTGTACCTCGCCATTTACCGAGAGCACAGCGTAGCTTTTTTATACGAATATAATTACTTAAATATAATTATTCGTCATATGACTGGAACTTACGTGAGATTACATATACGATTTTCCGTTGAGAATGACTCGACAAAAACTATTTTTCTTTTAGGAGATATACTCGACACAAGTGTCGTTTTATCTTTATTCATTGCCGAGAAAGCTGAAACGATATTTGTCCTCTAAAAGAAAAACAGCAAAATATTCGGATGTATTTTTTATGATATAAATTTGGACGGATGAAAATAAATCTAATTAAATAAGAGAAATTCTGTATTTAGTCAAAGCAGATTTTAAGTGTTTAAATATATCTATGTGTATTTATATACATATCTAATTCTGCAAACAACGCGCCGAAATCTTTTTCGGTTTTGAAACGCAATCACGAGCAGAACCAGAGTTGTAATATCGCTTAATAAATTAACAAGCCGTTTAATAATTTTTAACGCTAATAAGCATTTTTATAAGAATATTAATAATCTGACGTATTTTTTTCACACGCTCTCAAGACATAAGTATTATATAATCACGTCATATTATAACAGAGCATCGTTATGCTGAGTTCAATTTAAATTACGAAATTTTGTTTGAGTATCCAACTAAATACGACAGACGACAATTGAAGTTTTTTAATCCTAGATAGACAATAGCTTAACGATGATTCAATGACAGTATATCATATTCGTCCGTCTGTGCAATATATAGAAATTTCTCACACAGACTCCGATATTTGTTACTCATACACTGAGGATGACCCAATCTGTAATTGGTGATTAACATATATTTATTTATTTATTTACACACGATTAACTGTGTCGGCTCTCATTGGCATTGTCATTTTCTTTATTGTATTTTTTTTGTACTTTTTAATAAGATTATATTGTATTTGTTAATTTATGCACCAACTGCAGCGCTTGACTCTCTCTTGTCCTTATTGTTCTATTATTTAATAATTACTCAAACAAAGATTTAAAAAGTTTCAGATTCGCCAAAGAGTGTCTAAATCCGTCTATGCTTGCGAACGACAGTTCGATTGTTAGTTAATTGCCGACTGATTCGGGGGAATAAAACGCTGATTAAATTTCCGTTTAATCCGTAATGCGCGAAGCTCCTCTAATGTATATATATACATATATATATGTATAACAACCGAGACATTTTGTACGCATTTTTCAAGGGGTCCCGTCGAGATACGGGTTCCTTTCAACCGCGATAGCGCGCTACGCGGAGGCGAGGCACTCCGGCGGCCCTTCGTGCGATGACCCTTTTTCTTTCCTCCCCGTAACGACGCCGTCGCGGCGAAGCGTGGGCGTGGCTTTCCTTTGTACACGCGGGGTATGCGACTTACTTATTAATTACGACTTTCGATTAAGTGACAAGTAAACGGATTAGTGTTATTCTAACGGCGCGCGCGCGTGCCGAGCGGAACTCGCATGTGGCTTGTTCAAATGACGTGTGGTGAATCGCTCAAATTTGTTATACGTACACAATACAATTAGCTCCACTCGGTTTGAGACCGTCTGCTGCCTGAATAGAGAAGTTAACCCGCGCGACAGATACTATTCATTCAGATATTCAATGGAACGAACTGCCGTATGTATATTCCCGTAAAAAAAAAAAGAAAGAAAATAGATCATATAGGAATTGCGCTCTCGGAATTAATATAAGAGGAAAGGGGGGAGGAAAGAGAAAAGAAGTAATTAATTAGCAGAGATATTGAATTAAATTTGTTAACTCAGAGAGTTGAACTTAAGGTCTACCTAGTGATACATATGACTATATTATATAATTTCGTAAGAGTTTCGGCGTATGAATTTATTCGCGTGTCGACGCGCAGCCTCGCGCGAGTAAATTCATATCCAGTAAGAAAAAAAGTCCATCCAAGCAGGCGAAGGAATAAGTAAGAAAGAAGATATCATCTCGATATACTTTTAGGCTTAAAAAAAAAACAAGATAGATGGGAGAAGAAGAGCGAGCGAGTCGTCAAGGGGAGTAGACGCGAGACTAGTTCTAGAAGGAAGCATCTCATTACACGTAATTAGATAGGATGCGTATTTTAAGTATCTTCGTCGTCACGTACGAGTGTGTGCGTCCTGTGCGAGTTCGCGCGACGACCCTGTGAGAGTCGCGTTGAGGGAAGGAAGACGCGAGCAGGCATTGCTCTCTCCCGTCTTTTTTTCCACCTTCACTCATCTAACGCCCTGTTTCGAAGGAATGACGGAAGCTATCTTTAGCGTTCTGATGAGGGACGTTGGCTGTCATACTATCATATCATGATGCTCTATGCAGCACTTTATCTGAGGGACGTCCTGGGAACATCCTTGGAACCTGGGAATATCCGTAGGACGTTGTTAGGATATCTCTTGGAGGTCTGTGCTGTATAGGAGCGTATCAAGTTGATACTACTAATTCATAGCGATTGATAGATATGGTGACCCTTCCTGACTCCCGTCATCGTTAGAACCTTGAGGATATCGGTTCATGTTCCGTTAGATGAGCGAAGGTGCATCTTGCTCGGGAGATAACTGCATCCATTAAAATGCGAATCCACTGCGGATGTTCTACATGAGAGACACGAAGACGTTTAGATCGATAATGATAGTATATCGTTTATATCTGCGAGCTGCGTTTGATGAAACGAGCAGTGGATCCGCAGCTTCCAAATTCGTGCGCGCGAGCTCGGATCGGCGAGATGCAACCGCGTATTATCGAGGAAAAGGGTATATTACATGCACGGATATACATACATTCTCTTCGAAGGCTACAGAATCGTGACCCTTTCGGAAAGCACCGTATCTACAATCCTAAATGATCGTGATTCAGCCAACGGACACGCTGCCAAACCATCGTATCAATGCGCGAAGGAACGAGAAAAAAAAAGATAACGTATTATTTTTATAATTTGTCAGCTTTGTATTATTGTTACGATGGTTGAGAAGACTTGTATAAAACACAGTAACGTTTAACTTAAAAAAAAGAAAAAAAAAAGAACTGTGCGGCTCGCGTCAACGACATTCAACACGAACACACGATTAACACATTATACACACGAAACGTAATATATCATACACCCCCCAAACACGTGACAAGTTTGTCAAACAGATCAGACGAAGGACCTGAACACAAAGATTGTCGTAATTGTTTCTAACAGAGTTATAAGTCAATGCACAAGGATTGTATGTTGTATGAATTGCATTGCATCAGACTTTTATAATTACAGCGGTTACTTTTGATTGTTACAAAAATTCACTAAAACTAGTGCTGAAAATCTTTAGTACACATAACATAGATTTTTAGCGCTGGTAGTGAATTTTAGAACCAAATCTTTTGTTGAAATTCAATGGCTGCGTTCAGCAGAGAAAACTAATCAGTTAGCGCTTAGTGATTCTTTAATATGATTGGTTCTTGCCTTTAGTTTTTCGCTAACTCTAAATGTAGGAACCAATTATATTGAAGAATCACTAAGCGCTAATTGATTAGTTTTCTCTGCTGAATGCAACCAATTGCGTTCGGAAATATTACTCGGATACCTCCGATGCCTTGGATTCATCATCTTGTCCTTGTTTAACGTTAAAGTTTAATTAATGTTAAACTATATCGTTAATGGTAAGCAATATGGTAAATGAAGTTGACTTACGACTGTCGGAAACAGTTACAACAAAATTTGTGCTCAGGGAGTCAATCATATAACTTTTTCCTTAAGACAAAAATATGAAAAGTGAAAATTTTTTATGTATATGTTTATATGTACATACATACATACGTAAAAATTTTCACTTTTCATGTTTCCGTCCTAGAGAAAAAGTTACATGATCGATAACCAGATTCGAACTCGTGAACACGTACAATAAACGTGATCAATCGACTAAACCGAGCTATTTGTTAAAACTGCCATTAATCGTTATGTAGATGGGGAAACGATTGTATTGTCGTTAGAGCGAGATTTTTCGATTTGTAAAATCATATCTGGTAGCGATATCGAGACAGAGTTTGCCGCTTTTGCGAGAGACGCTCTCCGGACTTTAAACTTGGTGCTGCCAAGACCGCCGAATGCAACGATGAAGACCGCTAATTGCACCAATTGAACTGATCGATGCATTTTTTCCGATAGTCCAGATATTTGGGATCTATTGGAAAATATTTTGAAGATATATTGATGAATTTGGAATCAACTTTTTTTAATGAAAATTTCTAGGTTTTGATTAAATTAGTAGTAAAAAAAAGGAACCATATTTTTTAATGAAACTGTCAAGAAATTCAACGTTAAGAACAAAATTTCGCTCAATATTTCTCCTGAGAGGAAAGTCAATTTCATGAAAGTGTTTCGAAATTTCGTCAAAGTGTTCTTAGTATAATTTTCTGGGAGACTGTCTAACGCAGAGTAGAAAAGTTTACACTCAGAATAACACTCGACCGAGCGACGTTGGTGCAAGCAATTGGTCCTGGATTGCGCTTAAAGGATTAAGTAGACCGTTAGAGAGCTAGAGCTACGTAAAAATAATTCATATCATTAAGAACACGAAATAGTGATTTCGAATTGGAGGCAATGTGAGAGAAAGAGAGGAAAAAGAAATAGCCGTTTCCTATTTGTCTCTCTCTTTCTCTGGACTGCGTTTTACGGGCCGCACACGTGTAATTACACAGACGTGTAATGCACACGTGCACTGGGGCCTGTGGAGACGCGTATTTAGCTCAAGCTTTCCTTTTTATATTTTGTAAATACAGCGAATAAATAAAAATGGTGAGCATTTTTATATAGTTAATTTTATAATTTATTTACTACGGAAGAGAGACACGTCGCTCGTTTCTCTTCGTCGACCGTCGTCGCACGAGTGAAGTCGATGAAATTTAAGAGTAAAATAGGAGCGTGCATACTACAGAGACACACGTTACACACGTATACATACACATAGACATACACGCGCACGACTGTAGATAATTTGTAACAATTGCTATTGTCAAGTACCACGTACACATATAAAGCGACGTATGCTGATATATATCATTGCATATTATACTGATAACGATTAATAAAAGGTAATGTTGAAAATTGAAGTCTGTGCGCGAGAAAATACAAGCGCCTTTATTTAGCATTTTGTCCCTTATTATTCCTTGTTGTCTCCAGTAAACACACATTAATTTTTTGATAATTTTATTATAAAATTATTAAAGTAGAATAACGAAAATATACGAAATCTATATTGATTTGATAAATAAAATCGATTCTGCCTCTAGTTTATTAAAGCTTAAAAATTGTACATGTTATGAATTAATGTTGATATAACAATTACACATACTCCAATTTTTTTACAATCTTAAATTTGTACAAATTATAAGTACCGCATTTCAAGCAGGTGCTATTCGTTAATTTCATAAGTTACTTCCCTTTTTATTTTAACAATTGTTAAATTGCAAGAATGGAATGGCTTTCTTATGAGATTCTATAAAATTATTTTTAACCACATCCACCTTTTTTGCAACAGCTCCGTTTTGGAGGACGATATCCACGAGTACTATCACCCATTAAGGGATTATATTCTGAAAATAAAACATGGATATAACATAATAATTTAAATTTACTTGGAGATAAATTACAATATAATGTAAGTTTTACCTGATTTTAATTTCGACTTTGTACTCGTACTAGGAGTTTCATCATTGGTTCTACTACCGAGTCTTGTACCTATGTTTTTATTTTCTAGCAATTTCAAGACCTTTTGTCTCTTTTTCTCTTTCTCCTGTGAACAAAGGTAGATTGTTCCAATTTATATTTCAAAAATGTAAGTATAAAATTAATCTTAACTCGCGAATAGTCACCTGATTTTTTTTATATAAGTAGAAACCAAATAAGTATTAAACAGAGCAAGTACGTCAAATAGCTTATAACAGTGCTTCTAAAGATTTTTAATTTTAATATTTTTTTATTGCGAGTTTTCGATAGAATTGCATACTTAAAGATTCGTAAAGATAGATGTTAAAAAAGAAAAAAATGTTAAAATTTTAACAATTTATATTTTTTTGCTGTTGAAGTAAATATATCCCAGGTGACTATTCCCAGAGCAATGTGTAGCAAAAAGTACCTCTTCCTCTTTGATTTGTGCTAAGGCACGAGACTTGTCATACGTCTCTTGCATCTTCTGTCGTGCCAATTCCACATTAGATGACAACTGTGGTAATTCATCAGTTTCTAAATAAACAATTAATATAAAGGTGAAACAAGTTATATATTGCAAATAACATTGTAAATTATTTGTTGCCCAATAGTTGAGGATTTTTTGAGATAAATTATTGACCCACTTTTGCCAAGTGCAGCATCTCGCTGGTTCCTCGCGACTTTCCAACTCTTAAATTTTTCTTGAATATGTGGAAACGTGTACAATGCAATGATCCCAAGTCCAACGATGTACCATCCCACAGACGCTATCGGAGCCCAAACTGTAATACAAAAGGCGCTGTAATTGCTTCGCGAGCATGACGTTTACTCCAGAAAGCAGGAAGTGAAACTCGCAATGACACGAATGTAAATATAAGAACATTAATCGACACATATGCATATGTCTGCGATACATACTCGTTTGAAGGTAGCTTGGATTATCAACGTGCTCCATACTCCTTTGTGTTCAAGGCGAAATTTTCCAAGACGTTAACTTACATGTCACGACTCGATCTGTAATCTACAATGTAGTTTCACTGTCAGTGCGGAAAGTCTATAGTGCATGTAACGTAAACTATAGATTTTCGACGCTGGCAATAAATTACAGTCAATATATACTAGAGAGAAACCTGGAGTGAATATGACGGCCCAAACCTATAACCGTGAAATGCTGCAGCGCACTACTGCCCCCTGTCAAAATGGATGTAAACTACATAGCAATATCTACTTTTCTGAGGATACATACGTCCACTTTTCGAGGCTGCAGATGATAAATAGATATTTGGTCGGTAAATCGTGCTACATTCACAAACTGTGAATCAGAAATATTCATCTCTGCAATTTTGCGCGCGATGTTTATTTCGCTTAAAAGTATTAACATTAAGGTTATTACCCCCATTTTTATGAATGTGTTAATATTTATATTTTAAATGAACTATATACATATGAAAGTTGTATTTCAAACATTTTATTTATTTTCTTATTACAATACTACCCATACAGCACAGAATTTGCAGCAATATCGCTGCAAAATCTCTGCAATATTGCTGCAACATGCAATGTTGCTGCAATGTTGCAGTAGTGATGCTGCAACTTTTGTGCAGCTTTGTGCTGTAGGGGTATAAATAAAATTTAAAAAATGTATAATAACAAAATTAATCTTAATAATTTTTGTGCGTAAATACTTTTAGCTAAATAAAGGATTATTGAAAAAAGTAAGAAACGCGATAAAGAAACTAGATATAATTATGTACAGAAGTTCGTTATAAAATTTCCTTACGTTATTTTCTTTAATTGTTGGAAATACACTTACTTGTCCCTGTGCCTTCGAAGGTGGTTTATTAAAAGACTATAACTATTTCCATGATACTTAATTATCTTACTACATAAATTGCATATTGCCTTTTGATTTGCTTTTGGAATAAAATAATCCCATGTCCAATGAATTTTATTTTCTATCTTCTGTTCTTCTGTTAATTTTTCTGAATGTTCTTCCATCAAGTGATGGTGTAAAATAGAATATGCGTTTCTATAATATATTACTATCTGACAATGACTGCAAATTGCGATAAATTTCGCTCCTTCTATGTAATGTCTACGCATCCAGCGACAAACTGGGATCTTATTGTCTTCTATTTCCTGGTTTGCCATTATAACTGCGCGTTTTGTATTATAGAATAATAGTTTTTAATCAGACTTAAAATCACTGAAGATATAGAAACGATATGAAGAAGCAGAAACTGTTTACAGAAGATCAAAAACAGAGTATTATTCTTTGATGGAATATAAATATTGATATATGTATAGTTTGAACATGTCGAAACGTTTCTAGTGTGTGTGTGGGATGTGTAGTGGGGAGAGCTTGGTCTTATTTCAAATAAATTTATTTAAAATATGTATTTTAAATAAAGAAAAAGTTAAAAATTTATTTAGTATTTATTATTATTATTTAGTATTTATTATTTTAAATAACTTCTTTCGACCTATTTCTTATTTAATATTTTAAATAAGTTTTTAGAATTTATTTTATATTTTTATTTTATAAATAAATTGTATCTAAAATTATAAATCGTATCTTTTATGAATAAGAAAAGTTGGTACTTCTAGTGTTAATATATTTCAGGTGTAAAAAATAAATAGTCTCTTTATAATACGTAACGTTAAATTCTTGATCGAGAATATTTACATTATTTTTTCTTACGTAATGCTAGAGCTAATTCAATATCCATATTTATCATTAAGATTTGTCCTTCCGTCGCCAGATTGGTCTTGCGGCGGCACCCACGTAGAATAATCTTCTGAATGAACGTCTTGATCGTATTGCTTTTTCATATTTTTCCGTTTCTCTGATTTACTGTCCTTTTTTCGCTTTTCTACAACGTTTTGTTTCCTCGTTTCCTGATTGACACTTCTCGTAATACACGGTTTATCATCAGTTTTTATACTGTCATTTGATTTCGTTTCATCCTCAGACGTCGATTTTTTGCATTCAAATTTATGTACCCTTGCATTGTCTTCTTCTTCTTTTTCTTCTTCTTTTATTTTTACATTACCTGTTTTATTTTCTTCTTGCTCGTCATCATCATCATCTTCTTCTTCTCCTTCTTCATTATCCACAGTATATAAAGATGAATTTGCAGAATCGCTTTTATTCTGAAAAAAATATTTTTTAATCATAAGTAAAACAATAAAATATTTTTACATAAAAAAATAAAAGAATAAAAGAAAAACACTCACGTTTGCCTCAAAAAGCTTTCGTCTTTTTTCAAGTTGAGAAACCTTTTTCATAGAATATTTTGATTTTTGCTGGAGATTTTTGCTGTCACTTCCATCTTCTGCTTGCACTTGACTGACGAGAGGCGGCAAATTAGCTGGTTTTGTAAGGTTTATTAATTTGACAAGTTGTATTTCTTCTTTATGTAAGTTTTGTAACTCCACTTTCATTTTCCTTATGTCGCTTTTACTCAAAGTAGACGTGTTTAAACTAGACATAAAGGCATCCAACGAATCCTCGTTAGACTCCCCCGCTTTAGCATTTTTCCTTTGCGCTTCTTTTAAGCGTTCGTTCAAACGTGAAATTTTGTTCACAATCTCGCTATGCTTCTCAGTCTGAAATAATATCAATAAAATGTCAATAAAAGTTGAAGATATATTTATAATACCAAAAACATAAACGTAAGTGAACAAAATGACATTACCAATGAGCTATATGTCTCAACTTTATCTTCAATTTTTCCAGCCAATTTCATTCTCTGTTCACGTTTCTTCTCTACTGTTCCCGTTCTGTCCAAAAAGTTATCTTCGTCTGAATCGTAAAAATCTTCCTCTTCCCAATTCCTTGCTTTCTTTCTTCGACTCTCTAATTAACAATTATCAATAATTAGGAATAAAGTTTGCATTGATCAAAAATTATCATTTATTTATGTTATATGTTACCATGATTAGCTTGTCTCAACAATCCATGTCTGTCTAAGATTCTACAGGCTTCCAAAGCGCATTGAATAACAGATTCCTTCTTCTTTCCTTTGACAAGAGCTTCTGCTTTCATGGAACGACCACCGAAACATTCTTTAGGAAAACTAAAATTGTTTTCATTTTTATATTAATAAAAAGAAGAGAAAAGTGATAAATCAAAGTACGATATGCAAATATAATCTTAAAGTAACTTTACATACAAAGATTATCTCATATATAACTATATTTACCTTATCCAGCATAAAAATTGACCTATCCCTTTCTCTTCTACTTGATATTGCAAATCATATCCCTCTCTTTCGAACCAGCCTCTCAATGTTTTCTTGGGATCATCTAAATATAGCTCTTCATCTGCCATAGAAGCATAGGGATTCTCTGTCAAATCTGTTTCTTCATCTGCGTCTTCTCCCATTCCCCAATCAATACCCTCGTTCTCTGCTTCCAGTTTCGCTCTTTCCTCTGCTTCTTCTTCCTCTTGCTGCCTCATTTCTCGTTCCCGCAATTCTTCTAATCGTTTTTCCTATAAACAAATACGTTTGAAAATCTTGTCTTGCAAAAGAATGCCAAAATTGCAATTACAACAAAATATTACACAATACTAATTATAACAACACTAATTACGGTAAAATATATACAATACTGATTACAACAATACCGATTACAGTAAAATATTTACAATACTGATTCTAATAACACTGATTACAGCAAAATATTATATAACACTAATTATAAGAAGCTAATTACACATAATTATAAATAAAATCAACCTTAAGTTGTGTAACCGACAGTTCAGATTCTTCTTCCTGATCATCCAGTGGAGCTTGTAGAATGTATTTCCTCTGACTACAACCAAACCTTATCATATGACCACCATGTAACCGAACGTAGGTCCTTGGTTTTATACGATGCCCGTTCCATAATGTGCCATGTGTACTCTCCAAATCATATAAATAAAAACCTGTAGAGTTTTTCTCATCTGCTATTGCTCTGTATTGGATAATAGCATGGTACCTTGAGATAGTCGGATGAGCAAGAGATAAATTGCAGGAAGGCAACCTTCCTATCACGTAAAAACTTTTTTCAGTTAAATCAAGTTTTTCTAGAATTACTCCCGACTTAAGAATCTCCAACTTATATTCCTCGGTTGGTTTCCCACCCCATTTTGGCTCCAAGTATGGTATAGGAATATTTCTTGTGTCAAACGAGATATTCTCCTCTATGGAACCTTCTATTATTGGGTTATCGCTCTTATCTTCGGCATTCTGGAGTTGAACAGGCTCGATAGTTTCCTTATTCACGGACAATTCAAACGATGGGAGTGCTGTATCATTTTTCATAGTTCGAATTTTTCCAGTCTTACCCCGCTTGGGACCGATCAGTAGAAGCGGCTTCTTAAACCCTGATTCTTTGCAGGTGTCTGTACTACTTTGAGAAGACTCAGACGCGTCCTCCGTTTCTGACTTCCTAGTGCTCTGCTCATCACACGTCGATGATTCGGAAATCGTCTCATCGTTACTTGCATCAACGTTATCGTTAGGAGTATCCTTGGGAAGGGAAGTTACAGAATCGTTTTTCCGTTCGTTTGCTTCCATGGTTGTAATATTATCAAGTCTTATATCAGGAAGCAGTCAAATGTCACATAAATTCTTGTTTATACTATTATAAGTTATTATTACTTCATAGCTGTCAATCAGGATTTACGTGGCTCTTTCAACGTTTGGATATCACAACTGCATTGAACTTTGCATAACCATAACTGACCATAACCTATCAACTGACGCACAAATGACTGAAATGATTCTCCCCCTCCACTACTGTCTACTACTCTCTTTTTATAAAGTGCAATTGAAAATAAGACCGTGGTGTGTGTGTTCTGGGGATTTTTTTAACTATTAATTTAAATAATTATAAACCCAAATTACGAATTCTCTCGTACACTGAATGTTATAAAAAAACCGACAATCTTACGGAAATTAATTTATAAATTCTTGTAGACATAATTAGAAAGTTCGCACCGACAGTCGATAACATCGATACTTTTCAATTGGAGACCTTCATCGATCGTAATTAAAATTTACCAAATGTCGATCTTTAATTTCTTTTTTTTATTGGCTTCAAATCGTATTCAACAAAAACAATATATATAAAAATAGAAAATTGATTCAAAACAATTTTAACTTAAAATTAAAAGATTCAGACCATAAAGTAAGTTTTGAACAATATGCATGTTTCTTAAAATTTGATATCAAATAAATAAATTACTAAATACCTAATAAAATCTAACAATCCTTCATAATAGATACTTATAGCTGGAATAATCGCAGAAACAGTCGTGAGCGTCAGTTTAATAATAGGACTTGTATATCTCAGTTTATTTAATTAAAATATACAGATTATATAAACGTGATCACACATTTGTTCGAGTTCCTCCGATATCTATTTCCCCCCTCCCGCAATTCTCTTAACCTGAGATAAATCGCTATATATTATTTTTTCTCACTAACAGTTCTCTCTTCGTCTCTCTCGCTTTATGCCATAAATTCTTATATTTTTCATCTCTTAAAAAATACTCGGTTTCATCATATCACTACGATGTAACAAATGATAAATCTACGGACGCGCAAGGTAGATTCGTTCTTACATTCGCCTGTCCTGTAATTTGTTTCAACAGACGAACGTTATACCGAGGCGCCTTGCTCCTCTTTGCCATTGATCGACTACATTTACACAACTTGATTTACGCCGAAGTTATAACATCGATGTTATAAAACTGGCCAATCATAGTTATTCCTCTGAAGAATAGAATGACTGTGATTGACCAGTTTCATAACATCGATGTTATAACTTGGACGTAAATCGAGTTGTGTAAACGTAGTTATAGGCCCGTTTCTACCAACGTAGATTAACTTTAATCTCAGTTCAACTTACTTTTTATCTTTTTCTAATTCTCAGAACTGGAAAAAGATGAAGAGTTAGTTAAACCGAGATTAAAATTAAACTATATTGGTAGAAAGGGGCCATAATTCTTAAATTTATCTATACAATTTCTGTGTTTATATAATTATATATATAATTTTATATGTATAAAATTATATATATATATAATTATATTTATTAACACTGTACTTACATACAGCGTAAGACCTACGGGCATGCACCAAAAAGGATAAATAA